TGCTATTTTGGGGGGAACTCACCTCCTCTGGGGTCCCCCAGGAAGACTTTTTTTTAAATACTGAAGTTAAAAGCATCAATCTTGTGCACTTTGAGAGCAACATTAAGAGATATGGATACATCTCTCAACACCCATATGTCAAAAAGAAATCAAAGAATCAGAATCAGAAACGGGTTTATTATTTAAAAACACTTCATTTTCCAATTAAATCATAAACTATGTCAAATGATTAGAAGTAGTTAGTAATCAGATTAAACAGAAAAAAGGGATGGAAGGAGGACATAATAATCCCTCATCACTTGCTGTTTGCGGTTGAAATGATCTCTTTTGCTGGCCAAACATGCTGGATGGAAAGCAGTGGTGTCTCACTTGCCTTGGCCCTGTATCTGCAGTCCCTAAATCAGTCATGTTACTCATTGACTCTTGTCTATTCTGGTGTTCCTGTTCATTGTTGTCTCCATTGTCGTTCTTGTCTGTTGTATCTCCTTCTTGTGTGTCCCTTTCTCCTGTTCTCCTTTCTTCATCCTCTACTCTGTTTGGCTCATCTGTGATGACTGTGTAGGTAAACACAAACAAGTATGTAAGTCAATCAGTTTCCAGCTCTGTCAAATAAATGAATTTCAAGATACACACATTTGTCTTCATTAAAATGAGTGTCACCACACTGTCACAAAATGTAATACTAACCAATTGAAAATAGTTACATTTACATCTCTTGTAGATATCACTGTTAGAGTAGTTATCTGCCAATAGGACAGAATCATTCCTATACCAATGCAGTTTGAGTAATTCACTTAAAACTTTAATATAGTCATTTTCACTTAATACTCTAATATAGTCATCTTTCTGCATTCAACACTAAGGAAAGCTGTACAATTTGACATGATAATGAGGAAAAAAAGGCCTCCGACAATGCAGATCATTTTTTGATCATATCAATTTTAAGATGCGGGTCAAGGCTTAATATTTGGGAGCACAGTGTCCCTTGAAATATTTGTATAAAAAGCTTGTTAGCTGGCTGTCCATCTCATAATGTTCACATAGAAACTAGCTGTCAATAGGAAATATAAATCAGAAGAATTATATTTTCATGCAAAATCTGTCACAAAAAGAGGTTGCACATTTAAATGCAGGTGTTGTTATGGCAACGTCAGTGGCCAGACAGCCACATGTACTGCTGCAAATACGTTCAAACATGCTGTCGACACGTAAAGCAGTGGCAACTATGCCACCATTTCAGCTGACTTTTTCTCAGAAATACTGTCACATAACATCCATATATATATTTCAGTGCTAGGTTGATGCTTAGCTAAGCTAACTATGAAACACTTTAACTGACAGGACTGAGGAATCAGGATCAACTGTGTACTACTGTAAGGTAGCTTCTAGCTTCATGTCGAACACAGACAGTAAGTCAACATTTCCCAGAGAGCTTTCTTTGAAATCACCAAGTAACGCTAAAAAACACAACATTTAGATTGTATGACAAAGTGTTTATTTAATATATCTGGCTAGCTATAGCTACTTGCTAACGGTTTAGCTTAACCGCGCGATTCAAAGTAACGTCAACGTAGCTATAATGTATGCTTTGCTTACATGTTCGCATAACTTGTAAGTTTACTGACAGGTACATACCTTGTTCACCTGGCTCAGGTGGTGGCTCTGGGGTTGTTGTGTGAGCCACCACTTGAGAATTGCCGTCTTTTTTATTAAAGAAATGTCTAATGTCCATCTTCAGAATCTCCGCGTCCGGGGCTGACAGTTTAAAGTTTAAACATTGTCACAGAGGAGAGGTACGTACCTGTCAGCCAATAAAACACGTGTATTTCCATGCAACTCTCTGATTGGTCTGGTGGCGTCATCTTGCCTCTGTGTTGCATTCACGGAACATGGGAAATTACATTTCTGCCGTCCGTCCTATAGGTAAAGTAGGTTAATGTATTATATTATTGAGGGAGAATTTGTCCGGGGCTAAAGAAAAAACATCCGGGGCTAAAGCCCCGGATGCCTACCCCAGGCGACGCCCCTGGTCCCGACATATCCGCTTACATTCATAATGTCAGCGGAGGGAGGGGAAGCGGCACTGTGGAAGAGCAGAGTGGCGAGGGAGAGCTGTCATCTTCCCTTTTCAAGCTTCAAACATGTATTTATAGTGTGATTTTGGAAATAAAAATGTCATATTCTGAAAACCAAGACTTTGTTTATTTAAAATTAAACAAAACACCCGATCCCCGAAAAACTATTTTTTTACGCAAATCCACGTTTATTTTGAAATGAGCCGTTGCAACTTTCGACTGATTTCGATAGAGCGGGTCACATATGGCAAATGTGTGGTTGGGGGGAACCAGGTCAATTAAAGTACTTATTTAACTATTAAATACATTGAGTTTGAGTAAAATACTTGGTTACTGATTAATTTAGGTTATAATATATTAAATTGCAAAGCAAAACTGCTGTAATTGATTTATTTTGTCCTTTGGTATTTTTTAAAGGTTTTCAACCTGAAAGAATCCTAATGTGTCCTTGAAAAGTTGAAATAAAGAAAAGGAAAAAGGATTCCAGTTGTCCCTCAAGCCTCTCAAATGTGGGCAAACACTCAAATAAATGCCAAAAACCCAGAGAACTTGACAATACTTATCAGAATAAAAGTATGTTAAATAACACTGCTACCTAGTTAATAACTCTACTTTACTCAGTGGAGGCTCGTCCATTGAGGAAAGGGAGGACCATCCTCCCTACAATTTCAGAGAAAAATAAACTTTGAAGAGAACAATAAATACACCTCAATTTAAAAGATAAGTCTGTTAAAATACAGATAATAGCCCTGGCTTTGGGGCTGAAATGGGGCTAGAGAGGACGAGCCTGGGCGGGTCTAGCCAGAGGACGAGCCTGGGCGGGTCTAGCCAGAGGCTCTGGATTGGGCGCCTATATCATCAGTGAACCAATCAGCGGATCTGACTGCGCATCAGAGTGTTGATGGGGAGACTTATCAGCGATATCAGAGTTTTTTCTGAACCGGGTAACAGGGGCGCTCGCCCTCTTACCAAAATCAATTCCTTGAATTAGGCTTTGATTATGTTCTGGCCGCCATCTTGCGGCTCAGCAAAAAATTGGCCCACGGCCAAACTTACTTGCCTACCCCTGGCCTAGACAATGTAGGATAGAAATAAATATAAATATATATAGCATGTATGTATATATATATATATATATATATATATATATATATATATAAATAAAATAACAATTTCATTATATGGATTCAACTTGTGCCCCCCCGCTGGACTTGTCTGTGGTTAGCCGTTACTGTGACATCAGTATCAGCCATGGAAGATAGTTTGTTTGTTTCATTCTAAGCTATCCAGCAAGGTTATTTTCATTTATGTTGTTTTTTTTCTGCACATTGTAGAGTCTTGTTGTGATGAGAGGGATGGAGGTATTTAATAAAAACCTTGCTCGCTGGAGAATAGCTAAAGAAGTCCTGTCACAAGTTAATCGGAGAGGATCACAGCTGGCCACGGATCTCGATGCTGCATTCGGGCTGTGAGTAAACAACTTGTGTCTTACTTTTAGGCGGTCTGGAGGTATGGACAGCTATCAAAGCTACTAAACATCACATTAACAACGATGTACAAATGAAAGTCGGAGACAAATACATATTTGAAATGATTTATTCACGTTTGCAATGTTTTGAACAGACATCCCCAGTCACCTCATTGTCATTTTGTAGTCCTCGCTGTACGCGTCCGGATATCGGCATCGCAACCACAACCTCACACACTGGTACTGAATGTGCATAAAAGTGTTCCTATGGAGCCAAATATGCCAAAAGATAAATGTAAACAACAAAAGAAGCGATCGAAATGTGTATTTCCTGGTTATTCGACAATGGCTCCTCAAAGTACACGCCCCATTCCTACCGTTAACGTAACGTAACGAGTTCCCCGGTGTAACCAGTTAAACGGTAACAACGGCACACCAGTGTGCCGAGGCACACCGTTTGGGAACCACTGGACTAGAGGCAGGGAAACGACGCAAGTGAGGGAAGCAAGGATTTCATTTAACCGACCTGAGACGGGGCCAATGATTATTTGAAGCTAGGATTTTCATGGACCGGTCCTGATGACACTCCACTGCCAGTGTGTTATCTGCAACGAGGTGCTAGCTAATGACAGTATGAGACCATGTAAACTCCGGTGTCATATTGAGACGAAACACCCATGTTTGGTGACCAAGCCACAGGAGTTTTTTGACCGGAAGCTCAAGGAATTGCAGTCACAGAAAAATGTCATTGACATATTTAGCACTGTGAAATACAATGGCAACCGAAGCATCATACCGAGTGGCGTTACGGATAGCTAAGGCAGGTAAACCTCACAACATTGGTGAAACGTTATTCCTCCCTGCTGCAAAAGACATCTCCGTCTCAACTATTTCTCTCCGAGTGCAACGTATGAGGGAGCTGCCATCCTTAACCTCAACATGTTTAAAACATAAAGATAAAGAGGTTTAAAAAAAGCTATTGTTTAATGTTTTAAGGAGGTGACGCTCAGCCAATCAAAAAAGAGAAAGGTAGCGAAAATAGAGCATTTTATGACATGTTCTCTTACTGGACCTCTTTGAAATACAATTGAATACCCCTGCATTATAGCAACAACAACTTTAATAATAATAATAATAATAGCAATAATAATTGGGAGGGGGCGCGGCTGTGATTATGTTCTCTGAGGGGAGGCTCACCTTCCCACACTTTGGGAACCCCTGTTATAGACTACAGTATAATATTACTTGAATTCCTATTTTCCAATAACAAATAATATATGGTAGTTATTTGTTTATATATGGTGGGGTTATCCCTTTTATGTCCTTCATCCTGACGGCAAATTAAATTAAATCTTTTGAGACTCATGGTGAAACAGAATAATAAAAAACAATCTGCATCAGGAGTCATACATGTTATTGATTTAACCTAAATCTTTATTTTGTTTTTTTGTTGCAGGATGTAACCTGGCCATTCAAGGAAAAGCCGCACAGTCATCAGTGCATGGGAATGCCGATGCATATAAGGCCATTGATGGGAATCGGGCCTGCAAGTGGACTGTGGGTTCCTGCAGTCACACAGACGAGGAAATGAACCCCTGGTGGAGGCTGGCTCTGCCCAAAACACACAAAGTGTTTTCTGTTAAGATAACCAACCGAGATACATACCACGAACGACTCGATAGAGCCGAGATCCGCATTGGAGATTCTCTTGGAAACAATGGTGCTGAAAATCCCAGGTAACGTAGAGCCTGTCCTATTACAATACTAATATTAAAAAGTCACTAAATTGGTATTTTGTTGGAACACGTTTGAGGAACAATTATTCAGTTTTTCTTGCTCAAGTTTACCTGGTGCTACATTTTGGATTAAAAATCCTTACATTGCCAAGAAATAGGATTGGAGCGGAATACCCTTCATTTATGAATGATTCCTGCAATGTGTTCTGATCTGATCACAGAAATGGACAAATACCAAGGTCGCCAAATGAAAGGCCTGATCGAGGGTCGTCAATTGTGATTCTGTGACATGATTTGAAAACATTTATTTAAACATTACTGAAATGTAAATATTGTTCATTATCAAGCCCTAATTAAAATATCTGCAACCAACATTCTAACCAAGTAAAGCGTAGAAACCTAATGACGCTTTGAGTGCATGTTGAACTTAAAATGAAAAGCCTATTACTTCAGTAAACCCTTCCTGAGGTTAACGTAGTGATTTCTGCTTCTTCTACAGGTTTGCTGTAATCACCAGCATCCCGGCAGGTGAAACTGTTGAGTTCCAGGTTCCCAACGGGATGGACGGCCGCTATGTTTACATAGGTGTCCCTGGAAGAAAGGAGCAACTGACCCTCTGTGAGGTGGAGGTGTTTGGCTCTGCGCTGGACGGTTCCTACAGTCACTAATTCAATGTAATAGATTGGTAAAGATGCTGTAATGTGTACACAAAGCATCTAAAATAAAATGTGCATCTTAAATATCATTGTTCGCATGACGTCAAGATTTACTGTTGGAGATTGCAACAAACGTCTGCCTTGATTTTTGCTTTTACACAGGACTTGTACACCTTCTGCGAATGTGCTTGTCTTATCTCATAAGAAAACAACTGATATTTTGTTTCTATCAACCATGTAAGACCAGTGAAAGCAATGGTTCTGAAGGCAAGTTTTTTAATTTTTTTAAATACAGACAAAATAGACAAATATTATAAAAGACATCTGAAATCTTTCTTACCCAAAGTTAGATCAGAAGATCAATCCCCATCATGTCTGTAAGAATGGTATCTTGATAACTGAAGTGCCACAGACAACATTAAAGTTCAAACAACTAATGTATGTCTGGAGGCCCAAACAAAGACCAGTTTCCTCTGTATGCCTGAGCCGTTTATGTGTTTTTCTGTAGAAAGCGCCCTCTCATGGGGAAAGCCTGCAATTTATTAATGTTTTTTTTTTTTGCAGTGGAATTTAGCTGTCAGTTGGCTTTCAGCTAGCGGTCAGCTGGCTATCCCATAGCTGGGAGAGGGATACCTAAATGAGAGCATTAGTAAATCTCGGGAAGAAAGCAATAAAACCTATTTCATTAAATATTGACTGGTCATTAATGTGCCACGAAGAAGGAACCTACGACTGCTACCATTTACATGAAATCTACTGCTACAAATAAGTTGAGTTGACTTTTACAAAACCCGACTAACTGATAGCTTTTGATCGCTAACCGTTAAAGAAACCCAAATACACAGCTTTAAAAACAAGACTTCCTTTGGCAAAAAAATGCAATAAGAAAGAAAGAGAACCTTTTTAAGGCCATACAGTTGTATTTTACAAAAAGTTTGGGTATTTACAAAAAAGTGCTGACAGGGCACAGTTAGAGGCAGTCTACTTGTTTTGCCATAAAAAACACAACTCTTTCTGCCATTTTATAACTGGATGAGGAATGAAAGCTTGCCTGCTGAAAGCTGAATGATATGCAGTAAAGATTGTATTTAAAAGCTTCCAAACATGGGAACATCATTTTCCAAAGATTCTTTAAACACTGCTGGCCTCTAAAGAAACATTTCAACAACTTTTGCATAAAAATACTTACACACAAATACATTATAAAAATAGCGTACTACAGAAGAATCTTTCCCCAGATCAACACTGTGCAGAACAATAGAAGAAGTCAGACTGTGTCAAGATGCAAAGGTTATTGCCAAGACAAAATGTACTTAAGCCAAAGTCAAAGAAAATAAATTCCTAACATTAAGAAATAATACTGATGTATGAACAGCATGTCTTTGAAAACACTGTTTCCGAAAGTAAAGATTCTATATGACAGAACCAAGGGAACAATAAAAAGCTAGGAAACCTTTTGGCGTAATGGAAAAATTGCTGTATGAAAACAATGCAGCAGTAAAGATGGTTGGCAACAGTCCACAGATACTGAGAAGTCAGGGCGAAATGTCCAACCGCTCAGTGAATCAGAGCACCGCAAAGAGGGGGGACCGCTGGGCTTCGAGTAAAAAGCAGCAATTAGGCGCGTTCACATCGCAGTACTTTTCCCACTTTAGTTCCGAAATGTTGCGTTCACACCAAAAAGAGCCGGAACTAAAATTAGTTCATGAGAACCTTTTTACCCCCTTTTCCGTCCCTGCTAGAGAGCAGGGACTTTCGTCCCTATGTCTGATTGGCTGGGAGGATTGCAAACCACGCCCCGTAAAACTCCCAAAAAGTGTTGTGAAGCCGCCATTTTATAATCCTCGCACTAGCATTACTAGCATTAGCCCAGCGCAGAAACGCAGAGAGACTAACTTATGGCAACACAAAAGAAAACATGGGAGCGGTGGAGATGAGGAGTCCCCGGCCGGAAGTCCTCGAGGTCGGGGACTGGCTTCAGTAGAAGCTGCTGGGACTCGACCTCGAGGACTTCCGGCCGGGGACTCCGGGTGGCAGTATACGCCGTGAAGTTGTTTGCGGCCTGCCAAGAAGAAGAAGAAGAAGAAGAAGAAGAAGAAGAAGAAGAAGAAGAAGAAGAAGAAGAAGAAGAAGAAGAAGAAGTGACGTCAGCGGCTTAATTTGCTTAATCCTTCCCCAGGAACTTATTCCGGTGTGAACGCGATCTGAACTTAGTTCATGAGAACTAAAGAGTTCTCATGAACCTTTGTGGGAAAAGTACTGCGGTGTGAATGCGCCTAATGGCAGGGACTGATCAAAACCTAGTGAAAGATCAACAGGTGCTGAACTAGTCCTTCTCACGGTGTTATCTGAGATCTTTGGAGACTTTGAGAACTTTGTAGATGTCGTTGGAGAAGACTGTGGTGAAGTGGGGTCGTGAGCTTCTGGACATGTGGGTGCAAAGGGGAACTTTACCAACGTTTTGGGAATCCTCAATGTCCCAGATCTCTGGCATGCTGCACCCGGGCCTGAGCGAAGAGAAAGGAAGACGAAGTTCATGAGAATGACACACTATTTGTCCTGAAATTCAAGTCAATTTAGATATTTTAAATGTTTATATATAATATATATACTAGGGCTGTCAAGTTAATGCGTTAATAAGGCGTTAACGTAAAAAAAAATTAACGCCACTAATTATTTTAACGTGATTAACGCATGTGTATTTGTTTTCCTCGGCCGCCCCGTAGTTTCAGAGCGCATCGAGTTTAAAATACCATCTACAAGCTGATGCTGACAGCCCCGCTCCTGCCGCCCGCTTGTGGCAGAGCACACTTCCACGCTCACCGGCAGGCACCGACTGGCTGTTGGGAGGACCGGGAGGGTGTGTGGCCCGAGCGAGCGAGAGAGAGACCTTACGTGCATTGTTGTTGTTAGCATCTGGTGCTAGCTAGCTGCGCTAACGGATATAAGGAGCTGTTTAAATGAAAACAGAGGAGCGACATTTCGCCACAACTGCGCCGAGCACTTGACTTTATGCAGGAAGCCAGACAGTGGGACATTGTACGAAAAGTCAGCACACTCAGCACAGATAGTGCGCAACATGATTGCAGCTCCCGTTCGAGCATATGCCTTGAGTTGCACATAGCTCCCACACACACACACACACACACACACACACACACACACACACACACACACACACACACACACACACACACACACACACACACACACACACACACACACACACACACACACACACCACACACACACACACACACACACACACACACACACACACCCACACACACACACACACACACACACACACACACACACACACACACACACACACACACACCACACACACACACACACACACACACACACACACACACACACACACACACACACACACACACACACACACACACACACACACACACACACACACACACACACACACACACACACACACACACACACACACACACACACACACACACACACACACACACACACACACACACTTCCAGGTTGAATTGAGCCGAATATTTGTAATGTTCGAGGTTGTTGTGTTTAATATTCATGAGAATATTTGTCATTGTTCAAATGATAATAAACATTAGCATAAAGCATATTTGTCCACTCATATGTTGATAAGAGTATTAAAAACTTGAAAAATATTCCTCTAAGGTACATTTAGAACAGATAAAAAATGTGCGATTAATTTGCGATTAATCGCGATTAACTATTTTAATCGACTGACAGCCCTAATATATACATAACCATGTCCTAAAATGCACACATGAGTGGTCACCATCAAATACAGAACACAGGGTGCCATGATTTAACCATACAGAAACACTCTTTCCAGCACTATTATGCTCGTAGGGGGTTCCCCTCTTCTGTAGTGTGATATATAGGTTTTGGTGCCACATTAGAGGAGATAGAACTATGAACCTGAACATTTGCATAATATTTCCTCTTTAGAGCAAAATAAAATAAAATACAGAGTTTAACCCCAGATCAAATGCAATGTAAATACTGTTATATTATATTTTACTATATATTTTGTATTATTTTAAATATTTGTATAGTTCTCTTCCTGTTTTTTGTATTCTTCTTTTATGCACCACGACACAAAGTCAGATTCCTCATATGTGTAAAGCTACCTGGTAATAAACGTGTTTCTGATTCTTAAATATTATCTTCTGTGATTGTAATGTAGGTTGAGTGTCTGAACACTTGCCTTAAATATTATCCCTTGTTGATGTTGCAGGAAAGATTCCAGACTTTATCTTGCAATACAGTGTTATCATATTATAAAATAAAATATGACAGAAAACAGGTTGAAAAGTTCCCCCTCCTGTGAGAGGGCTCTGGAGGTACCTGGTTCTCCGGGTGCACCAGGAATCCTCCAGGACGAAGAAGTCCACCCCCAACGTCATCAGGTTCCCCTTCACTGTGTCTGCAGACATGCGGCTGTACATGGAGTACACCAGCTTGGTTCTCTCCCTGCGAGGAGCACAATAAAGCATTGATATGGAGCACAAGTTGGAGAACAACTACATGCAAAGTAAAGCAGTACAGAGGTTTAAGTACATTGTGAAGTCACTTTGTTACCAGTTAAAGTGCTGCATTTAAAATCGTGCTTCAGTAAAGGTGCAAAAGTAAAATGACAATTTAAGCGTAATGGCACATTTCTGAATAATATATGGGCCATTCTACCGAATTGATGCAAAGTCAGGTTGGAACCCTGTCTACTTCTTTGCACTGAGCCAGTTGCTCAAACATACAAGCCTGTTTACAGTTGTCAGCAAAAATGCCGCTCCTCTGTCTTCATCTTCAGTCAAAGCATGAGACGTTCCCACTGTGGGTCAAAATAATGCGCTGTGATGTGCAGTTGACATGTTGGATGTGATCCGAATGATCTAACGCAGCCCCTCATCCTCCACAATGTTAAGCTGTAGCCACCCATTTAGCTATCGCTGTTAAAAGCTTGCTGCTCGTAGAAGTGTCCAGGCGTCTCCCCAACAAACTTTCAAGCGTGGTCTGCCACAAGCGAGCGGCAGGAGCGGGTCTGTCAGCATCAGCTGTGTGCTTGGCTTGCTGTTTAAAACACCTTTTTTTGTATCCATATCTCTCGCTAGAATCTCCCACCATCCAACTAACAACAACAACAACAACAACGTCAAGCCTTTGGGCTCTGAAACTACGGGGCGGGCCGAGGACAAATACACATGCGTTAATCGCACGTTAAAATAATTTGTGGCGTTAAAAAAAAAAAGATTATTATTATTAGTTATTAACGCGTTAAGTTGACAGCCCTAATATTTACTGCAGTTTTTCATGTATACCGGTAGTCTGATACATAATATGTACAATTTGAAAGGGAGTTAAATGAAATTTGGTGATGATTAATGGTTTTTGTGTTAATGTAATAGCAGCTAAAACAGGACCGCGAACACTAAAGTAAGGGGGGGAAAACGAAGACAATAGGAGGGTTAAATCAGGGGTGTCCAAACTTTTTTCACGAGGGCCACATACAGAAAAATATACGAAGGGCTGGGTCACTCGCTAGACGAGAGGTATATTGCCTCATACGCTAATTATAAGGCGTGTGGCACAGCTTTAAACCCCACTGCAGTCAGCATGTCGTTGTGTCCCTGGGCAAGACACTTCACCCCAAATTGCTCCTGTGGGGAATGCCCACAGTAATGAGTATGTAAGTCGCTTTGGATAAAAGCGGATAAAAAGTAACATGTAACAAGTAACAAGTAACATGTAATAAGTCAGCAAAATTAATCAAATGTAGGTCAATTATGCTTGATACTTGAAAATGCCTTAAGAAACAAACAGCCTACATCACAGCTCTCCTTAGGGTTTCATTTATTTTCTTGGCAGCTCATTCCTCAGTTTGCTTAGAACAAGGGGAAATATGAAGGGTGTATTTCAAGCTTGTTACGTACATAAGTCATTTGGCCTTTTTTTTAATCAACTAAGATATGTTCATTAAAGTTGGAAACATTTTCTGACCGAATTTATTAGAAAGTGGCCTTAATAACACATGAATACTGCTGTGTAATATATTTTTACATTTATATTTAAGAAGTACAATATAAGACACAGGTTATTTGTGGGCCATATTGGATTATACTTTTAGAATTTACTGAGGCCGATTCAGCAGTTGGGCTGCTGTGAGTCTTACTGACCTCAGACCAGCGTCTTCGTAGTGGGGGTGGTTGACGATGGGCCGCCCTGTGGAGAGCTTCACGCTGGCCATGGTGGGCATGGCTCCGGCAAACACAGAATCTGCATCAGTCACACACAAAAACAAGACAATGTTGTTGAGTTTCTACACCACCACTTCTTCCTTTTTTATATGTCTCTACTTTGTACGGTTTAATAACGTAAGCCATGGAAAATACTTATTTCTAATTGGCTGACAGGTGTAGTTCAAATGGTATCTCTAGTGAACAAGAAAATAAAATGAATTACATTTTTGTTTATCGAGTAAAGCAGCAGGTGGCACAAATTCTCCATTTTGAAAAAAAACATTAAACCATTGCAGAAAAGATGGTGAAGCAATTCAAAGAGCACCAGTGGAAGTTTAAACAGTGAAAAACAACTCGTGAAGGTCACATCAGATCTATGTGGAGCAGTGAGGTGAATTTTGTTATATTCTACCATTTAATCATCTCATCGGCGTAGCAGGAGCTTCAGTGGACGTTTGAAGTCACATGCTTTATGTGTAACGTAAAATATCCCAAGCACATTGTCACATTTGTTTGATATCCCGATATATTCTTTCAAATGTTCTGCTTTTTAACTCTCATTTTATTATTTTATGGGCATTAAAACACACGTATTGCAACCATGGAAGTTGCCAACAAACTCCATCGCTTAATAATTAAATAGTTAATAATAAGCGTTAAATATAAATTGATACAATTATAGAAGTGCCCGTTCCTAAGGTTTATTGATCCTTCACTCACCAGACGGGGTATTTTCCTGGATCCAGTCCAGCAGCTCCTCCTGAGGCATGTTGCTGAACTCTCCGATGATCGCCCACTGCGCCTGCATGTTGGCCACGCCCTGCACCGCCATGATGGCCATGACCGCAAACACCGCCACCTGGTGTTTAAACCTGTCCCCGACCCAACCAAACAACTGGCACAACAAAGAGAAACGGAGAAAAGTATTTAAAATAAATGTTCATAGTGTCAATCATGTGACCCTTAATTCAATTCATAACAGACCACATTTAAAATAAAAACTCAGTCACATTTATCTAAACAAAAATATATATTAAAAGTTCATCTTATCCTCTGCTACGGAACTAAAAGCAACTGTAAAGCAAAACTAAGAGAGCAAAAGAGCAAGAGATTAAAAAACAACAACTGTTGATAATATTGCATATTATTGCAGACTTTCTTTATCTATACAAATATATTTATTAAAGGTCACCTATCATGCTATTTTTAGGTAATAACATAGGTCTCAGATATATACAAAAATACAAAAAACATGTCTATGAAGTGTTTTTGTCAAAAAACCAAACAGATCACCCATTATAGCCATGCCTCATATCCCTCTATTTCACTTCCTGTTACAAAAGTGCTGATTCTGGGTATAAACAGGTCTCTCTTGAGAATGAGACCCTGTGTCTCAATTAGATTTTCACCTGTATAAATAAAGGCTAAAAAAATAAAATAAAGCTTCTATTTTTTTTTAAACTGAAAAAAATTAAAATAAGAGGGGGCGGAGCTTATGCTGGCTAATGCGGGACCTGGCAAACATAGATATATATAAACACTAGATGACTCACCCGCGCTGCTGCCCAATGGAGACCGACGTTGCCACATGGCGGCCATCTTGCCACAGGCAGCTCGCTCATTCATAACATTATGTCTCTGGTGCACTATTGAAATAACCGTAGACTGCTCAATTTTCAAACGGTTTGGTTCGTTATAAACATCAAAGATGTAGTTATGATACTGCATACTTATAATTATAATCATTAACTTGTTTTTTTCAACATGTCTTGTTGTCTCCTGTATCATAGCCATGCTAATAACGTTTATAATAAACGAAACCGTTTGTAAATCAGTCCAGATTTCAGCGAGTTAAGAGTATTTTTGTGCAGATCACTCACCTCACAACAGCTGTAGCAGTAGTTGTTGCCTGTGGTAAGATGGCCGCCGGTGAGCTACGCTGGCGACACCCCCTTTAGCCATCTAGTGTTTATATATATCTATGTTGGCAAATACTAGAGGCTTCTCAATTCCTAAATGTTCCCTCCTCGACTCCTCGGTCCTCCGGTAGTGACCCGGAAAGGAATTTCAGCGCGCCATGTTGAAGGACATCTAATTTCTCTAAATGCACATCGAGGACCGAGCATCGAGGAGGCTCTCTGGAGGAGCTATGATCGAGGATACACTGATGCATCCTTACGTTACGCACGGCCGGACTTATCTCAGCCAATGACAGCTCTGCATGCATCCCCGGGATATTATTTTAGTAACTGCTTGAATCGCAACGCGATGTTTACAGTGAGAACAGCTGTGAGGTCCGTGCAGAAAGCAGAGCAGTGTGTAAAATATATATTACTCAGTATAACAGGCCTACTCTCTGTATTTGTATGCTGTACTTTAGTAGATATCTACAAATAAAGACACACCGGGGACACATATTTATGTATAAAAGACATCAAAAAGTGCATTTTGCATTATAGGTCCCCTTTAAAGCACATCTAATCCTCTTTGCCGAACAGAAAGCAACCGTAACACTTTTTTATACATGTTTTTATATATATAAGTTATTGAGTGAGAGATTACATTTTTTTTTTTTTTAAATAACTTATCAATAATATGACCTGTAATTCAATTCATTACAGATCTATACAACATGATGTATTAAAAGGTCATCCTAGCCTCTGCTACAGAACAAAAACAACCGTTATACCTATATTTTCTTTATATAATCTCTATAAAGAGAGACAACAAGAGAAAAAACATAACTGACACATTAAATGTGTGCCTATCAAACTGATAACCCTTATTAAAATGCACTGTACATACTGGCTATTTAATCAGATGAAGAGGTAATGACTACACCAAGATGAAAACACACTTTTTAAATAGAGCACATGGTTTTTGTTTAAACAACACCCTTGACTGGGGTTAGAGACAGACCTGTTTGGAGCAGATGAGCGAGGCCATGATGCACATGTGTGGCGTGAGGAAGAGCTTCAGACGCATGATGAGGACGGCCAGGATGGCGAAGGCCAGCAGCTGCAGGCTGTGGTACACCATCTGCACACACACACAGAAATTAGTCAAAAAATACACTCAACTTTAGTGCTGAGCTACATTTGGAGACAAAGTATGGCTTTAGATCAACTATTCTGTTTGTCAGTCACACACTCTGCTGGAACACTGGCACCCATGTATTTATTGGTGCTTTACTGACACTAGCTGGTGATTAGTGGTACAGCACAGACCTTCAGAGGATGTAGCTTTTGCCTATATCTCCAGGGATTTGATTGTTTTTAGAGAAGAAATTGACAAAATGATAAAATAGAATCAGCCTTTGATTGTTTCGTTAGGATCTGTTGCTAAAGATATATGCGACACAGCTCAGAGAAAGAAACTGCAGATGCTTTAATTGATTGAAAAGAGGGTGCTGTAACAAAACTGTGTCCGGTGTCATGTTCATGTGTGACGGACAATTTCCAAACATCCTCCTTTTTGTAAATGTCCGTTTCTTTGTCTATTTAGAAACAAAGGTTTAAATACATGCATATTCTTTCTATTTTGAGGTACCCATGTTATCGAATGCTCCGTTTTGTTGAAATTGAAACTACTTATTAAAAAGTTTAAAGGGCCCAGGTCATGCTTTTCCGGTTATTACCCGTCCCCTTGTGTGTTATGTAGCTTTTTATGCATGTAAACGGTCTGCAAAGTCACAAACCCTCAAAGTACACCCTGTAGTGAGTAATCTGAAACACAGAAAAGACCTGTCTATGCTGCCCCAGAACGCCTCGTTGGAGATTTTTCTTTTTCTTCCTGGGTACAGTGACATGACCACACCTAAATGGACCAATCCGTGGAGCTCCTCACACACACACACTCTCTCAGCAGCTAAACTGTGACGCACTTACACTGTAGGTGCGCCGCGTTTGGGGGTGCAAACACCAGTAATAGAGCTCACACTGTCCCCTCCTCACAGCAGCGAGCCGCGCAATGTCCCGCCAACACGGCACTCAGACCCCACGCAGCATTCTCATCTGTTTGTCATTACTGGTGTCATTTTCTGGTTGCTAACGCCATTGTTCCACTGTAACGGTGGTTGACTCATCAGAACAGAGTGGGCGAGCTGACCAATCAGAGCACACTAGGCTCACAGGGAGGGGGGGGGGGTCAGGAGCTCCAACAAGCCGTTTAGGACAGAGAGTGAATACACATACTTTACAGAGATGCTGTGTGAGAAACCAATGTGAGTTTGGAAAATTGCACGATGTAAATCTATTCTAGTAGACCTTTAAAAACTAGCCTCTACAATGTATTATTTATAAATTAAATATATTTAAATGAAGGAGTGTTGATCTGATTGAACAAGCCATTTAAAATAAATGTATTTTAAAACTTGTGTTGGGAATTATTCATCGATTTCTGTTATAATGTAAATGCTTATTTTTGGAAAATCTATTGCCAAATGTAATATTTTGTTTCTACTTCACATTGGCTTGTTACTTTTTAAAGACGGTGGAGGTTGGAGGTATGCCACGTGGAGTGATTTCAGATGAATACAAAATAATAGTGTCCTAAATCACTAAAACTTGATATTTCTGAAGACGTGACAGCAACTTGTGCTTATTAAACCATAAGTCTCAGCCCAGCTGTCAGTGCAGCTATGATCGCTTCAGAGGCCGGTTCAATTCAAAGTGACCTGCACCGAGAACGACTGTATAATGAAATTTGCATGATGCTTTGATCTTTTTGAACATGGTCGTCGCTGCGAGGATCAAGAACACCCTCGGGTCTCATTGAGCCATACGGAAACGTTAAAGCAATTATCTGGGAAACTTTGGAAAGGTCCACACGCTGTGGCTGCTGGAGGAACATCTGAAGGATATTGAGGATATTATAGGAGCAGCTGACAAAAGGCAGCAGAGTGAGGTACTATCTCACACAGGCTCTGCCCTCTAGTGGACTCTATGGGTACTACTCTCATCAATGATACGCGAGCGTTCACACACTGAAGTTGTATAAACTTAGCCGGCCAATCAGGGCGAGCCTACCTGAATGCGCACGCAGGCTCACAGTATATAAGGCAGCTACACCTCCTGACTGTCATCCTTTTCTCTTCAGCGAGCGAGACAACACCTGACAGAAAAAAAGAAACATTTCGTGGAAGGTTTGGCGGCGGAGTGGGCCACCAGAGAGTACCAAAGCTTCTTAACTGCTGCTCCACAGCTACTTGCATTTCCCTTAACACAGTTTTATGGGGAATGGAAGCTCAGCTGTGTACTGACGGAGTGGATGGACAGGACACTGAGACTGCCTCCATTCAGGGGCATAAGAGAGGCAAATCTATCATCCCAGGAGGAGATAGGTTTCCTTTCAACAGAGATTCAGGCCCTGTTGCAAAAACAGGCTGTGTCTGTTGTGCACTCTCAGGACAGAGAAAAGGGGCTTTACTCCATGTACTTCCTCGTTTCCAAGAAGACAGGAGAATTCAAACCCATTCTGGATCTTCGCATCCTGAATCAGCACATTGCCTGCAAAAAGTTCCATATGTTAACTGTTAGGGATTAATTTTGTCTTTACTCCTAGACATTTAACCTTATTTTGTGTGTTGACATTTACGACCATCCCTGCTTCTAATCTCCCGTAAGGAATGTGTTAATGCAGTCGTATGTTGATACTAGGTTATATGGCCTGACCAGGGCTCGCAATTAACGATGTCCCGATATCCCGGGGACCATAACAATTACTACTGGGACACAAATCTATTTTGTCTGGGACTATTTCGGGACAGTGAAAAAAGAATTAAAAGTAAACTTCAAAATGGGTGTTATTTGCAAAGTCATTGGGCTGTCAAATCATAGAATGCATTCTACGTCATCCACTCTGCTGCTGACTGCTGCTAGACTCGCGCCAATGCAACGGTCACAACAGTTAAAAAAAGAAGAAAGAAATGCTGAGGTGGTTGAATAAACAGCCCCCTGTTGCAAGCCCCAATTCTGCCGACTCCCGAAACGAAAACATCCCAAGTCCTGGTCATGATGCATCGTCTTCCACTGTGGTAAGTTAGTGGTCTTAAGTGTCAATGTTAGCTAGCGCTAGCGTTATCTAGCGCTAACTAACGCTAGCAACTGAAGTGTGCCTTACAATGCATACAAACGTCCTAAAATGCGGTGTCACGTTCTTTTGAAGTTTGTGAAAATGATGTGAAATACAATTGATCAGAATAAGAGGTGTAGCCTATCATTTTTGTATTTTCTTTGTCAGCCAGTCAGTGACCAGACTAGAATCTTTAGCTGCAAACACGTAAGGCATTTAGCCAATCATTTAGCTTTTCATCTTTTTTTAGTGTTTTAGTTTTTTTTGGTCAAGAACGTCAGTCAGATTGGGTGACGATTAGAAAGTGGGTCGCAAGGTAATTTTAGTTTGTCAATCAACTCTGGTATGAGAATAATGTGTCATGTTAAGAGAGAGTAATGTTCCAGTTGTTTTTGTGCCTGGGGGGGGGGGGTGAATGAGTGAGAGCAAGATGATTGACATTCATGAATGAAGATAGAAGATCAATTTATATTCCTATAGTACTACTGACTTGTGAGGATAACTTGTAATTAGAACTGAAAACAGATACATTTATTAAACTGTATTATGGAACTTCTGTTTTTTTATTATCATTCATACCACTTTTATTGCCAGATGGAGGGTTCCGATCATAAAACACAGAGACCATACAGCCATACCATATTGAATTGAAAAATACAAATCAGAATTCTTCAATGTTGACATGACAATGATAAATTAGTCTGGATATTGAGAAACAATAGAAAAACATGTCTTAAAACAACTCTCTTCCCTTCTACTCTAGGAGAGGCAACAGATCAGACTAATATTCATATGTTTAAAAGAATAAGTATTTTAAACTTACATGGTGGACCAGAGTCTATGGTGTGATGATTAAGTCCGGGTCCAGTGTGCATCTGGACCCGGTAACGACATTACCTATTGACGCAGCAACCACTGTAAGTTATATTCTTGTTTAATTAGACTTCTCTGTTTCATTTATTCGACTCTGTATAAATTGTTATTGTAGCTTTAACGGCTAAATCGCGTTTGAGAGATTTTAAATCTCAGATCTGCTCACGCGAAACCTGCTTTACAGCTCTCAGCACTCAAGCCTGCATTAATATAGGCACGGCCAGTCTACTGTCGCCCATCAGCTGTAGATAGTTAACTAATTAGAGGGCCGTGGCCCTACAGCTGTGTGAACTGAGCAATCAGGCGTCCATTTTTGGGTAGCTCTTTCCTAGAGCGTCAGCTTCAGCGTCAGACAGCCGAAGACTGACAAAGACATTGGAGTCCTGCGGGAGTAAGACTGACAAAGACATTGGAGGCCTGCGGGAGTCACGAGGGAGGCAAAGAGGAGGCAAATCCTACTCTGATTGAGCTGGTGTCTTATTTATCTTTTCTTTAGTTTTCTAGCCCCTCATGCTATAATCATGTGTATTTTCTCCATTCCTGTTCATGTGTCTTCTCGCAATTATCACTGGCCCCGTGTATCTCCTAATCGATATAACCGGCCTGCTCTCGTCTATCCCCTCCTGCTCCCTGGCTAAATGATGCACTGCGTGCTAATAGAACCGTCCTTAGGGCAGCAGAGCGGAAATGGTGGAAATCCAAACACTGTGACGACCTCCTAACCTATCAAGCTCTCCTTTCCTCTTTCTCTGCTTCGATCTCTCAGGCAAAAAGCACTTTCTTTCAAGATAAGATCCAATCTTCCTATTCCAATCCTAAAAAACTATTTTCCATCTTCTCCACCCTCTTGGACCCTCCAAAAGCTCCTCCCCCCTCCTCACTTCTGTCAAGTGACTTTGTTACCCACTTTGAAAAAAAAATAAAAAAAGGTTGATGATATTCGCTCTTCTTTTTCTGACTCACCTTTACTCACCGCTGGGTCACCAGACCCTCCTTCCACCAACACACTTACCTCCTTTTCCCCTCTCTCTCCAAGTGAGGTTCTTACCCTCATTACCTCTGCCCGCCCTACCACCTGTCCTCTGGACCCTATC